ATAGATAGATAGATAGATAGATAGATAGATAGATAGATAGATAGATAAGTTGATTTATTTTAGTAATTCCATTCAAAAAGTGAAACTTGCATATTATAATCATTCATTACACACAGACTGATATATTTCAATTGTTTATTTTTTTAATGTTGATAATTATAACTGACGACTAATGAAAACCCCAAATTCAGTATCTCAGAAAATTAGTTGTTCAGTCTGTGGCACTGCTCAGGTGTTATGAGAGCCCAGGTTGTTCTGATAGTGGCCTTCAGCTCTTCTGAATTTTTGGGTCTGGCATATCGCATCTTCCTCTTCACAATACACCATAGATTTTCTATGTGGTTAAGGTCATGCCAGTTTGCTGGCCAGTTAAGAACAGGGATACCATGGTCCTTAAACCAGGTACTGGTAGCTTTGATACTGTGTGCAGGTGCCAAGTCCTGTTGGAAAATAAAATTGCATCTCCATAAAGTTGGTCAGCAGCAGGAAGTGCTCTAAAACTTCCTGGTAGATGACACATTAAAAACTTAAATTTTAGAAAAATCCATTTTGTTTCTGAGGTGCAAGGCAATAAAATAGAAAACATCCCAGTGGTAGGAACTGCATTTGACAAATTCTGTTGATTTGTGTCCGTTTGTCAGCTTCCGCTCTGTCATCGGAGTGGGCGTGGGAGCAGGAGCGTATGTCCTCTCCAAGTTCACAGTGAGTGACTTCTTCTTCTAAACTTGTCATTTTTAATTGTAATGGAATTTAAAAAAAAACAATTAAAATTGGTAGTTGTCAACATTTGATATTGTTTTAATCAAGCTGCTTCAGATTACTGTAGTGTGTCCTGGAACAAGAATGAAGATTATGTAAATCTCTAAAAATAATCACAGCTGAGAGCTTTTATCTTCTGACTGGCAGCTACCAAGGAAGTAGCTTCATCTGGCACTTGTGTTCTTGCATTATTTTTAACCATTTTTTGCATCAGTTATGAAGAATATACCACTGATACAGTTCAGTAGTCATGTTTCAAATAAACTATGTCCTACTTTAATGTTTAGGTTGATGACTGCAATTTAAAAATAATGTTATACATAATCATCAAATCAGACAAAGTTTGTACGACTGTAAAATTCAAATTTTAAGAAAACTGTTGTCCTTACAGTTAATTTGACTGTTACTTTATTGCAAACAGTTTGAATCCACGATTCATACACAAGCTTAGAAAAAAATGAAGTTTGTTTCATCACTGCTTTTTATATCTGTTCTTTAAATCCATTTCTGCACTTCAGGCTATAACATCTTCTGATAAAATTGAGACAAGGGAACTTTAAGGCTGGTAACAAGTTTATATAGACGCGATCAAGAGACTCTTACTTTTTCCACATGGGAGGTTCCACGTCTCTTGTCTCTCATGTCTCTTGAATCTCTTGTCCTCAAACAGAAGCCTGGGAACTGGAGGTTTTGTTCAGTAGCTCATTTCTCATCAGATGTCCTGGATCTCCTACATATCTTGTGACATTTTTAGCCCAGACAGCAATGGAGCCAACACGTCATTGTTTCAACCGTTACAGAGTCATGGTTTCTTGGATATTTCGGCACTGTGGTTTGCTCCTCTGATCTTCCATATCAAAATTGTAAACTTACCCACTGAGCCACCTCTCAGCTATCTGTCTGTCTGATGCCTCCTGGATGTGTTCCTCTGAAGGTTTTCTAGTTATGTCCTTCTGGAAACAGCCACTAACGCACTCCCAACATGCTGGAAGGATTATGCGTCCTCTCTAGCCTGGGAATACCTTGGGATCCCCAGTTGGTGCTGGAGAGTGTCACTGTGTACAGGGATGTGTGGGATTTCATCTTGAACCTGTCAACTGGACAGATAGAAGTAAAAATGATCACTGGAAGGATAAACAAGACATTACTTTGGTAAACCTTAGTGAAGCGCTACAGTATGGAGTTAACTGAAACTTCAAAGTTTACTGTGCAAGAACTGTGTTACTGTGTTAAACAAAACTTTGGACGTTCTTTGAAAAATTAGCAAAATAAATTTCCTTAGTGGCTGGTTTACATATGGAACCAGCCCCCAACCCTTCTCAATTTAGTTTCTGTGAGTCAGGCAGTGTGAGAAGTGTGACACAATTTATGAGCTCTTGGCAAGCTATGAAACCAAATTATGACTGATTAAAGACAAACAAGCAAAAAAAAAGCTGTGATTAAATTAGGATGTAGTTGAGACACGATCAAGACACTTTGTGCCTAAATTGTGACACATACATTTGCAAGCCATTCACAAGAATTTAACGTGAATATTGCAATTGTTCAGTCCCTATACAAGCAGTGCAAGAGTTTGGTTCACGTTGCTGGTAGTAAGTTCGGACCCTTCAGGGTGGGAGTTGGACTCTTCCAGGGCTGCCTGTTGTCACTGATTCTGTTCATAACTTTTTTGGACAGAATATCTCAGTGCAGTCAGGGGGCAGAGGGATTCCAGTTCGGTGGTCTCAGGATTCCATCTCTGCTCTTTGCAGATGATGTGGTCCTGTTGGCGTCATTGGGCCGTGATCTTCAGCTCTCACTGGAGCGGTTCGCAGCCGAGTGTGAAGCGGCTGGGATGAGAATCAGCACCTCCAAACCTGAGGCCATGGTCCTCAGTCGGAAAAGGGTGGATTGCTCTCTTCAGTTCAAGGGTGAGATTCTGTCTCAAGTGGAGGGGTTCAAGTATCTCGGTGTTTTGTTCACAAGTGAGGGACGAATGGAGCATGAGATTGACAGAAGGATTGATGCAGCGTCTGCAGTATTGCTGACTCTGTACTGGTCCGTTGTGGTGAAAAGGGAGCTGAGCTGTAAGGTGAAGCTTTCTGTTTACCGGTCGGTCTACGTTCCTACCCTCACTTATGATCACAACACTGGCTAGTGACCGAAAGAATGAGATCGTGGATACAAGCGGTTGAAAATATGTTCAACCGTTACGGAGTATGGTTGAAAATATATAAATGACAATAAAATTGACTTGAACCTGAACTTGAAATGAGTTTCCTCTGCAGGGTAGCTGGACTCTCCCTTAGAGATAGGGTGAGAAATTCAGTTATCCTGGAGAGACGCAGAGTAGAACCATAGCTCCTCCACATTGGGAGGACCCAGTTGAAGTTGTTCAGGCATCTAGTAAGGATACTCCCATGGCGCCTCCGTAGGGAGGCAGTTGGGCATGTCTGACTGGGAGGAGACCTCGGGGAAGACCCAGGACACGCTGGAGGGACTATGTGTCTTGGTTGCCCTGGGAACACCCTGGGGTCCTCCCAGAAGAGCTGGAAGACGTGGCTGTGGAAGAGATGTCTGGACCTCCCTGCTCAATCCACTGCCCCACGACTCGACTTTGGATAAGTGGAAGATATTAAATGGATGGATATTGCAATTTTTTTTTAGACACATAGGTTCACAAATTTGTCATAACTGCTTAATTCAGTGCGTTTCCTTACCAATTTGTGTTTCCAGCCAGTCTAATAAAAGTCACAGCTCAGTGAGATACAGGCTTTACTTCCTATTGGAGGAAACCGCAACATTACAAAATGATAAAAAACTTCACAGCTACTGGTTCAGCTTTTACTGAATGGGGCTGCATGCCTGAAATACAGGAATGGATTTGTTTAAATAATAGAATTAAGTGGACAGGACAGAAAATGAAATATCTCCGGTTCACACTATTTGTTTTCTCTTTACAACTACCCGTCTTATTTTAGCTCGCTAATCCAGATTCAGTGGAGGGTCTGGTTCTGATCAACATCGACACTAATGCTCGAGGATGGATGGACTGGGCTGCTCAGAAGGTTCGTCTGCTCATCGTCTTCAACTGACTGATAGTTGACCTGCTCAGAAACACGATACTCTGATGTGGTTAGCCCTGATGGGAGCTGTTCATCAGCTTAGGTTCAGCCTGGGATATGAAATTAGGTGACTTCATCCAGGCTCTGTTTCCTACAGAGCTATTGATGATGTGAAAGTTTAAAATAGATCATTTAGCACTGTATTAAATGAGGTGTTACTGATCGCTCTCCTTTTCCTCCTCTTTAGCTCAGTTCTGTGACTTCCACCTTCACAGAGCAGATTCTGTGTCACCTTTTCAGTCAGGTATAAATTAACAGTTTTGTTTTTTTATAGATTTGTTCTGGGTGATTCATTTTGTATTGACTGCTGATGCGCTTCACATCTCTAATAGGAGGAGCTGTCATCAAACACAGACATAGTTCAGTCTCACAGAGAGCGCATCTCGAAAGCCCCCAACCTGGCCAACATCGAGCTCTTTTGGAAGATGTACAACAGGTGCAACACCCCCACAGACATTAAACACAACAACTCACTGTCAAACAACTCACCTTTTCTTTCTGCTCCTGCAGCCGTAGGGACTTGAACCTTGACCGCAACTACACCTTCAAGTAATGACACCTTTTTTTTTTAAGACATAAATCTGTAAAACATGCCAATGGTATTCGTCTGACCTGCGTTATGTGTCCACCTCAGGTGTCCAGTGATGTTGGTGGTGGGGGATTTGGCTCCATACGAGGAAGCTGCTGTAAGGATCACAGCAAACTAGGGATCCACAATATTGGATTTTTGGCTGATATCTGATATGACGATATGTTAAAACTTATTTGGCCGATAACCGATACCGATATATTTTTAATATACTTTCCTTCATCAGAACATAGCCTTCTTATTTATTCTTATTTGCTACAAAAATTGTGTAACAACTGTAAAAGCTGGTGACAAATATTCAGTAACAGCCATATGATATGTATAGCACTTTGACTTGTATTAAATGAAAATTGTTAAATATTATTTATTAGCATTAGTCAGCTGTGATGCTGTCTCACTTGTGGAGGCTTGTTCCAGGTTCCTAGCTGCAGTGTGGGATCCTCTGCACTCTGTGCATGAAGGACAGACTTTTTAAGTTCAAAGTTTTTCTCTATCCATTTTGCTGTAAGACTAATCATGCTAACGGGGCTAACACTTGATGTCTGTGGTAAAACTCACTCAAGTGCTATCGGCTATTAGCTTCTCAATGACGTCGGAAATGGCGGTTTGTAACTCGGGTAAGGCTACGTCGGAAAAACATATCTGACTGGGGACGATGTAATAAGGCTCAACGTAGTCCAAAAATCTGTGGAATCCAATACCACTGACATTTTGACTTCTTCCTCTCCGCCGGGATCAGATCATTTAGGCGCGCGTGATGTCATCACGTTGTGCTAGCGCTGCAGGCATCCTCGTCAATGGGTTGTCATACAAAAACAGCACTTTTTATATCGGGGAGTTATTTTGATGGAATGGCCGATGTCCAATATTTAATTTAGCACTAATATCTACCGATACCATGCTGATAATATTGTGCACCGTACAGCAAGCACTTGTTTCGTCACTTGACACTTGTTTCGTCTGTTGGATGGACCCAGAGGTTTTTTATGCTTTTTTTAATTCTGTCACCATCAGGTGGAGTGTAACAGCAAACTGGACCCAACAACAACCTCATTCCTGAAGGTGAAGCGTCCTGTCCCTTTATTTGGCGTCTCTGTCTCATTCCATTGTTTTCTCTGTCGCTCATGTCTTCTGTCCCCTCACAGATGGCTGATGCTGGTGGTCTCCCTCAGCTGACCCAGGTAACAAAAACACATTACTCATGAGTAAAGTGGGACAGTGGCTATTTAAGATGAACGGTTTAAGACATTTATGAGAGAAAGCGAAGCAATTTGTTGTAATTTTTGGTACATTTATCACTCAGCTGGCTCTAGACTGAATGGAAAACTTGACCTGACTCTCTGTTCTTTATCTCTCTGCAGCCCGCTAAACTGACTGAGGCTTTCAAGTATTTCATCCAGGGCATGGGCTACAGTAAGTTCACACTGAAGTCTTCCACTTTTAAAGATAAAATTATGATCTCCGATGATAAACTTTACAAGAAGGGCACAGTTTGTGGATATAAGCGTTTCCAAATGTTCATTTTCAAGTGGGGTTTTTTAAGCTGTGGGAAGAGTAGTGAAACAGGAAATGTGACAAAAACAGAAGAACAAGGGTGCTCTTGTCTTGGGCACCCTGATGAATACTGTTCATCCTGAGTGGGTACCACTTATTTTCCTCCAAATCGAGGCTGGAATTTGACCCAAACTGTTCTCATCACCTGCCGTGTTTACTCTTGTCTTGACCATTAATTCAGTTCAGTTTATTTATAAAGCACCAAGTCACAACAGAAGTCATCTCAGGACAATGAACAGAAACATTCACGTACAGTATAAAAGCCATTTAGCGGAAGTTGTCTAAGGAAACATCAGATTGTGTTGAATCTTCACTTCATCACAGTCTCCCATCCTGAACAAGCACAAAGGCAACAGTGGAAAGGAAAAACTCCCTTTCAACAGGAAGAAACTTCCAGCAGAACCAGGCTCAGGACGAGCAGCCATCTGCTTTGACCAACTGGAGTTTGAGAGGAACAGGAAGGAGAAAAGGAACACAGGTCCAGGTGAACTTTCTATAGGAGGAAAGACAAAAAACATGTTAAGATAGAAATAATTACAAATACAAAGAGGTAGAGTAAGTAAAGACAGCAGCAGAGTGAAGAAATTAGGTCAGTTTGTCCTCCAGCAGTCTAAGCCTATAGCAACATAACTAAGGGACAGCTCAGGAAACCCAAGCCGACCCTAACTATAGGATTTATCAAAAAGGAAAGTCTTAAGCCCAGTCTTAAAACTGGACAATGTGCCAGTCTCACGGACAGAAACTGGAAGTTGGTTCCACAAGAGAGGAGCCTGATAACTGAAAGATCTGCCTCTCATTTTGCTTTTTGGAAACTCTAGGAACCACAAGTAAACCTGCAGTCTGAGAGCGAAGTGCTCTGTTAGGAAAATATGGAAAAATAAGATCTGTATTATAAGATGGAGCTAGGTTGTTGAGAACTTTGTAGGTTAGAAGAAAGATTTTGAATTCTATTCTGGATTTGACAGGGAGCCAATGGAGAGAAACTAAAACTGGAGAGATATGATCTCTCCCACTAAGTCCAGTTAAGACTCTGGCAGCAGCATTTAGGATCAACTGAAGACGTTTTAAAGTATTTGGACACCCAGATAATAAACCGTTGCAATAGTCCAGTCTAGACGTGACAAATGCATGGACTAGTTTTTCCTGCATCATTTTCAGATAAGATGTTTCTAATTTTAGTGATATTACGCAGGTGGAAGAAGGCTGTTCTAGTAACGTTTTTAATGTGGGGGACAAAAGACATGTCCTGATCAAAAATAAGACCAAGATTTTTAACATTAGAACTGGAGGACAGATTAATGCCATCTAAGGAGGGAGAAAGACTGAAAAATTCATTCCTAAGGTGCTCAGGTCCAAAAACTAAAACCTCAGTCTTGTCTGTGTTCAACAGGAGAAAATTAAGGGTCATCCAGGTTTTTATGTCTTTAAGACATGCTTGTAGTCTAAGTAGCTGATTGGATTCATTGGGTTTAATGGACAAATATAATTGTGTGTCATCAGCATAACAATGAAAATTTATCCCATGCTGTTTAATAATTTTACCTAACGGAAGCATATATAGAGTAAAGAGTATTGGTTCAAGCACTGAGCCCTGACGAACTCCATGACTAACTTTGGTGTATGAAGAAGATGTATTATTTACATTTACAAACTGGAATCTATCAGATAGATATGATTTAAACCATTTTAGAATTGTTCCTGTAATTCCAATATCATATTAAAGACTCTGTAGTAAAGTATTGTGATCAACTGTATCAAATGCAGCACTGAGGTCTAACAGGACCAGTATAGACACAAGTCCATTGTCTGAGACCATGAGAATATCATTAGTGACTTTTACTAGTGCTGTTTCTGTGCTATGATGAGCTCTAAACCCTGAAAAAAACTCTTCTAACAGATTATTTCTTTGTAGATTTTCACGCAACTGACCTGCAACTATATTCTCTAGAATTTTTGAGATGAAAGTTAGATTATATATAGATCTATAGTTGGCCAGAATTTCAGACTCAAGATCAGACTTCTTAAGTAAAGGTTTAATTACAGCAACCTTAAAGCGCTGTGGTACATAACCATCCATTAAAGACAAATTAAGTAGATCCAAAATGTGAACATTAATTAGTGGAAATACCTCTTTAAACAGTCTGGTTGGGATGGGATCTAGCAGACATGTGGATGGTTTGGATGAGGTTATTATTTTTTGACAATTCAGAGAGCTCAACAGGACAAAAACTGTCCAAACATAAATCAGGCTCTAGTGAAATTTTTAAAGTTGCCTCATTTGACAGGGGACTAGAAATAGTAGAAGGAAGGATGGTTTGAATTTTATCTCTAATTAAAATAATTTTATTTATAAAGAATCTCATGAAGTCATCACCACTTGTAGGGATACATGGTTCAACAGAAATGGGACTTTTAATTAGTCTAGCAATAGTACTAAACAGAATCCTAGGGTTATTTTTATTCTCCTCTATTAAAGATGAGTAATATAAAGTTCTAGCTTTACGGAGAGCTTTTTTAAATGTTAGCAGACTATCTTTCCAAGTTAAATAAAATTCTTCAACATTAGTAGAGCACCATTTTCTCTCTTGGTTTCTAGATGCCTGCTTTAAATAACTCAGAATTTAACCAAGGAGCCAGTTTCCTCTGATTGATTACTTTCTTTTTCAGTGGAGCAATTTTATCAAGTGAAGTTTGCGTTGAAGTTGTAAGATGATCAACTAGATGATCTAAGTCTCTGTTCTCTGATGCATTACTCTGCAAGACAGAGGAAAACATTGATGGAAGAGATTGTTTAAATTTGGTTACAGCATTTTCTGATAAGCACCTGCTGAGATGAAATTTACTCTCAGTGACTGTGTAGTCATTTAATGTAAACTCAAAGGTTATTAAAAAATGGTCGGACAGAATAGGATTTTGAGGAACTATAACCAAGTCCTTAATCTCTATACCATAGGTCAGAACTAAATCAAGAGTGTGATGATAAGAATGAGTAGATGTGTGGATGTTTTGGGTAAAACCAAATGAGTCTATTAAATTATTAAAGGCTATGCTTAAGCTATCACTCTCAACATCCACATGAATATTGAAATCACCCATTATGATGATTTTATCAGTATTTAATAATAAGTCAGTTAATAATTCTGAGAATTCAGACAAAAACTGAGAGTAAGCACCTGGTGGACGATATACAGTATAACAACTAGTAAAAGTGGCTTTTCTGATTCCCATTTTGGATGAGAAAGACTGAGAGACAGCAATTCAAAAGCATCATAACTAATAACTGGTTTGGCATTAATCAATAAACCTGACTGAAAAATAGAAGCTACTCCTCCACCTCGGCCAGTTGTTCTAGGAACATAAAAATTAAAACAATTAACAAGAGTGGATTAATTTATACTAACAAAATCCTCCTGTTGTAGCCAAGTTTCTGTCAGACATAATAAATCAATATGATGATCAGTTATCAGTTCATTAACTAACAGGGATTTAGAGGAAAGAGATCTGATGTTCAATAATCCACATTTAATGATTTTATGCATATTTATTTATATTTTATTTATATTTTAGCATATTTTAAAGCTGTATCCAATCATATTTCAGACAGCAGATGTTGCTATGATCAAATTAATCTGCCTCAAGTCCTTCAGAATCATAAGTAAAGGCCCTGGTAGCTTCAAATAAATGGCAATAATACTGTTGGTTTTAACTAATTGGTGAGAAACAAACCTGCTATAAATTGTGTAGGCATTAACATCTCTGGTTGTGTGTTTACAGGTATATTATACTCTTTGTTATGTTGTCGGTTTTTTTAATGCATGTTTAGATTATTCCCCTGTGTTTCCAGTGCCACCAGTACTCTTCCCTCAGCCATGCTCCTGCTCTCACAACTGGTCCTAATTTTCATATCAGCTTACACAATAGGTTTGTACAAGATTTGCTCCTGGTGTGATGATCTGTATGCTTCTAATGGGTTTGGTTTCTGTTGTATTTGCTGGCCTATCAGCATTATTATTATTATTAATATTATTATTAAATTATTTTGTTTATCAAGTCTTTGAGTGGGTCTACAATATTGGTTCTACTTTACCACAAAACATGACACTGTTTTGTCATGTTGATGGTAAGTTTTTGATGTATGGGTGTGTTCTTGTGTCAGACTGAACAGAAAGTAAAACTGGCAGGTCAGAGATTTATGAAACTAATAAAACACAAAACTGAAAAACTTGCAGATCTTGATTCAGAAAGATCTTTACTTTTCATTCAACCTTTATTTAGACAGGTTAATTCCAATGAGCCTCAAGGACTCATTTATAAGAGAGACCTGATTTCAACAAAGAATGATGACAACAATGGATAACAGCGACAATAATAGACATTTATAAAAAGGCATACAGATTTTTTTTTTTTTTTTACAAATAAGATCGCAAAAAAGTAACAAAAACAGCTAGATTATATGGCGAATGTAGAAAACTAAAAACAGGAACATGTCTACATTGGTCCTTGCCAGGAGTCCAACAGATTCTTAAAGCCACTTAGAGAGGTCAAGGTCAAGAGCTTCAGATCTTTTTGCAAGATATTCCAGGAAACAGGAGTGGAGTAGGAGAAGGCACTTTTGCCTAGCTCAGTCCTCACTGAGGGAACACTGCAGGTAATAATGTCCTGAGAGCGCACGCTGTAGCTGCACTCATGCAGAGACATGTAGGAGGAGATGTATGAAGGCAGCAGATCAAGAAGTGATTTAAAGATGAAAATGTACCAGTGAGAGAGTCTGCGTGAAGTTAATGATGTCCAGTTAACCAGTGAATACAGGGTGCAGTGGTGGGTATGATAATCACAGCCAGTTATGAATCTTAGTGCACCATGATGGACAGCATCCAACATCTGCAGGGTTCTTGTAGGAGCGTTCATGTAAATAATGTCACCGTAATCAATGGAGGGAAGGAAGGTCACAGATACAAGGTGTTTCCTAGCATTCAGGGTTAGACAGGATTTGCTTCTGAAAAAGAAACCCAGTTTAACTTTCAGTTTCTTTACCAAGTTTTCCACATGGAGCTTAAAAGAAAGATGCGAGTCGACCAAGATACCCAAATATTTATAGGAATCAACAAACTCAATGGAGACACCATTTGAAGATAAAATCGGAGGAAGAACTGCTGGGACCGACTTCCTGTTTGAAAAAAAAAGCATCCCTTTGGTTTTATCAGCATTTAAGATCAGTTTGAGGTGGAACAAATCAGACTGGATGATGTCAAATGTGGATTGCAAAAGCTGGAAAACCTTAGCAACAGTTTTAGCTCGACAATAAACAACTGTGTCATCAGCGTAGAAATGTATGGATGCATTAGGGATGTTTTCACCTACATTACCTATGTAGATTGTAAAGAGGGTGGGTCCTAAGACTGAGCCTTGTGGTACACCATTGTTGCGGGTTAAATAACTGGAGGAATTACCATTATGTTGAATACATTGTCTCCGACCTGAAAGATAGTTAGAGAACCAAACAATGGTGTGTTCTGAGAAACCAATTTCTGAGAGTTTATGACACAAGATGTTATGATCCACAGTGTCAAAAGCTTTAGACAGGTCTAAGAAAAGTGCAGCACAATAATCCTTAGCATCCAGTGCTTCAACAACGTCATTAAGAACCTTCAGTGAAGCAGTCGTGCTGTGTTGTTTCCTGAAACCAGATTGATGTGGAGGTAAGATGTTAAATGAGTCCAGGTAATTTTTGATTTGAGAGTTTATCAGTTTTTCTAGAACCTTGGCTAAAATGCAGAGTTTAGAGATTGGTCGATAGTTGTTCAGTGAGGTGGGGTCTCCTCCCTTCAGCAAAGGATGAACAAAGGCTGTTTTCCAAGCGTCTGGGATGGCGTTTTGGCTTATGGACAGGTTAAAGATGTGGGACACAGGAACTGCAATACTTAAGACAAGAAGGGAAATTAACACTAGGTAATAATACAAGACTTGGCCAGAAGAAAGAAGAAAATTGATTTTGCTCAAGAAAATTACAGAAATAATGTGAAGGAAACTAGTACAGCTTGTACAACACAGTTAATTAACAATTCTGTCTTATAAAATATGGTGGAGACCCTGTGGCAGCATCAATGTTCACTATTTGCTCAAAGTGAGGATGAACATATTTCAGAAGGTTTGAGGAAACATTTTTAAACAAGCTCCACAGAATAAACTGCTGTCATGACATGTTTGGGTTTCACTGGGTGAACATGTGATTAGCTTTTGTCTTCACTCAGCGTGACTCTTTTTTCTTTTTTCTCTCTTCTTTTCCGGACGAGCTTAACACCTTCTATGCCTGATTTGATGCAAACAACACCACACATGCCACCAGAACACATGTAGACAGTGAGGATGCCACCCTCTGCTTAGACACTGTTACTGTGAGACGGGCGTTCAAGAAGGTAAACCCTCAAAAGTCAGCAGGGCCTGATAGTATCCCAGGACAGGTGCTGAGAGTGTGCACTGACCAACTCACCAAGGTTTTTACCAACATCTTTAACCTATCTCTGAGCCAGTGTATTGTGTCCACCATCTTCAAGACCTCAACAGTTGTCCCCATCCCAAAGACCTCTGCAGCATCCTGCCTTAATGACTTTCAGCCCCTTGCACTCACATCTGTCGTCATGAAATGCTTTGAGCAAATTTTCAAAAGTCACATCTGTGCCTCCCTCCCTGACACCCTGGACCCCCTACAGTTCACATACAGAGCAAACAAGTCTACAGATGATGCCATTGCTTTAGAAGTTCACACCTCCCTCAGCCATCTGGAGAAGGATAACACCCATGTGAGAATGCTCTTCATTGACTACAGCTCAGCATTCAACACCATAATCCCATCCAAACTGGTCTCCAAGCTCACCAAATTTGGCCTGGAGAAGTCCATCTGCTGCTGGATACTGAACTTCTTCACCAACAGACCACAGGCAGTGAGAATTGACTGTCATATCTCCTCCAAACTAGTCCTCAGCACCAGTACACCTCAGGGCTGTGTCCTCAGTCCACTCCTGTACTCACTATTTACAAATGACTGTACCACCAAGCACAGCTCTAACATCATCCTCAAGTATGCTGATGACACCACCATCCCGGGCCTCGTCACTAACAACAACGATGCCAACAGACGAGGTGAAATCACTGACCAGCTGGTGTCAGGAAAATAACCTCTCTAACTTTCAGCAAAACAAAGGAGATGTGGTAGCTCGGTGGTCTGCCAAGTCTTCGTGCGACTTAGTTCGCTGTGGCGACCCTTAACGCAGGGAGCAGCCGAAAGAAGAAGAAGATATGAGTGTGTGTGTGTGTGTGTGCGTGTGCGTGTGTGTCTGTGAGTGTGTGTCTGTATAATATATATCATGTGCATCTAAGCTTATACTACTACCTTGAAATACTTGTTCAAATTCATCCTGCTGCACCATTATATTCTACCATGTTGTTGCTCAAAATCTCACTTTAGGACATTGTAAATATTTTAATTAATTACTTTTTCACTTTTTTGTACCTTTTTGGTGTACCCTTAGTGCATGCTTTTTTGTACTTTTTTGTTGGTTTGTACTTTGAGTTTTTTAGCAGAGTCAAATCGGTTCTTCTCATCTTAAGCATTTCATTGTACTGTTAACCCTGTGTTAACTTTGCATATGACAAATAAACACATCTTGAACTTGAACTTGACTCTGCACTGCTGAGAAACTGTTAAGGTGTCAAGAAAACAAAAGAGAAACAAAGTTGAATCTGCTGATTCTTGTCTGGGACATTTATCTGTGGTTTATCTGTTGGCAGTGCATAGTGGCATATTTGCCAAACAACCTACGCAAAATTAAAAAAAAACTTTTTATTTGTCGTGTGAACCAGTTTTGCTGTGATAACGCAGAACAGAAAGTAGTGGAATGCTGAGGTATGAGGGTTAACTCCCTAATAGCGTTGGTCAGGGATGACATTACGAATACTGTGGGTAAACCCCAAAGTCATGGAAGTCAGGCAAATAGGGCAGACTGCAGGCATAATGACCACCTCCAGTGCTTTTGTCCATGTCATCCTAAACCAGGGCTGTTCAGCTAAACTGCTCAGGGGGCCACAGTTACTGAAAGCCAACAGCTCAGGGTCCGGATATCCAGCAATGTGTCATTTGTCAATAAATGAAGAATTGTTTTACTTTTTGTATTTGTATATTTTGCTGCATTTAATCGTTCATGCATCAAAGTTCATGCTCAATAATCCAGCTAAAAAAATCCGACAAATTTAAGTCAGGTCCATTGGATGTTTTCTTTTTTTGTAGAAACGTTTCGTCCTTCATCCAAAGGACTTCATCAATCCGAGGAACCACAACGAACTGAGTCCCATAAGTGGCTTAGTCGCACAGTGGACCAACCAGTTTAATGGTGACAAGATGGTTTCTGGAGTCTGCCCTCTCCCCTGTTGACTCCTCTGAGTCAGCCATAGCCAACGTGGTTCAAAACCCAGCTAATAAATAAATTAATTAATAAATTAAACAAAGAAAACGTCCAGTGCCCTTGACTTAATTTTGTTGGATTTTCTACATGGATTATTGAGCATGAACTTTGCTGTTTTGAACCAGGGGTTGGAGTTAGGTTGCTGTTTTGAACTCCATCATCTAGGGGAGGGGACCCTGTGGCAGATCCAGAACTTACTGAAGGACTTGTTTATCCTCTCTGGCCTGGGAATACCTTAGGATCAATCTGCCATAGTTTGTGTGTTTTCTGCTGTTTATTTAGTTTTGTGTTTATCCATCCATCTGGCCATCTGTCCGTCCATCCGTCCATCCTTTATCTTTCACTTGCTCCAAAGTTGGATAGCTGGGGCAGCAGCTTGAGCAGGGGGGCCTAAACATCTCTTTCCACAGCCACCTCTTCCAACTCTTCTGGGAGGACTCCTAGGGGTTCCCAGGACAACCGAGAGACATAGTCTCTCCTGCGTGTCCTGGGTCTTCCCCGAGGTCTCCTCCCAGTCAGACATGCCCAAAGCACCTCCTTAGGGAGACGCCCACAGAGCATCCTTATCAGATGCTGGAACCACCTCAACTGGCTCCTCTCAATGTGGAGGAGCAGCAGTTCTACTCTAAGACTCTTCCAGATAACTAAACTTCTCACCCTATCTCTAAGGGAGAGTCCAGCTACCCTGCAGAGGAAACTCATTTTAACCGCCTGTATGCATGATCTTGTTCTTTCCGTTACTACCCAGAGTTTGTGACCATAGGTGATGGTAGGAATGTAGTCCAACTGGTAAACAGAGAGCTTTGTCTTACAGCTCAGCTCCCACTTCACCACAACAGACCGGCACACAGTCTGAAATACTGCAGACGCTGCACCAATCCTTCTGTCAATCTCACGCTCCATTCTTCCCTCACTCATGAACAAAACCAAGATATACTTGAACTCCTCCACTTGGGGCAGAACCTCACCCTAAACCCAAAGAAAGCAATCCACCATTTCTGACTGAGGACCATGGCCTCAGATTTGGAGGTGCTGATTTTCATCCCAGCTACAAACCTCTCCAGTGAGAGCTGAAGATCACGGCACGATGACGCCAATAGGACCATATCATTCGCAAATAGCAGAGAAAGAAACCTGACGCTTCTGAACCAAACTCCATCCACCCTCTGGCTGCACTGAGAACACATTTACATAAAAGTTATGAACAGAATCGGTGACAATGGACAGCTCTGTTGTAGTCCAACTCCCATCTTGAAGTGTTCCAACTTACTGCTGGCAATGCAAACCAAACTCTCACACTGCTTGTATAGGGACTGAACAGCCAGTCACAACAGGCCCCCAATCCTATACTTACCGAGCACCCCCCACAGTGTACCTCAAGCAACACGTTTGAACACCCAGACAGTTTTTCATTGTTTTTCACTGTCCTGGCTACCAGCCTGATGTCTCGGTCCCTGTTATGCTTCCTGGTATTTTGAAAGTATTGCTGCGATTCCAACCTTTTGCATTATGTATTTAAACAAATAAGTTTATTTTACTTAAGCGTTTTTTGTCCACCTGCTTCTGAGTCCATTCTCAACACCATCTGTGATACGATCAGAAGATGCTGGTGACCACCAGGGATATTACAGCTATTTCCATTTTTTCATCTTAAAGTTGTTTTTAAGAACTACTGCAAAGCAACATTTTGATAAATATAGCCCATATATGTGTCAGTTTAAATTTTGAAATGGTGTATTATCTATTCTATTATGTATGATGGTGTCCCTGTAGTGTTTACACTGTAGTAAAAGAGAAAAGCAGAAATAGAACCCCCATACCCAAATCAAACAAACAATAAAAAAAACTTGACCTCGAAAATGGTCGATTTTGTGAACAATACCAAATAGATAATGAATTCCGCTGAATAACTGTCATTACATGCATTATGTTTGCATGCTTCTCATGGTGATCAGAAATAAAACTTTTCTTACGAATGAGTAAAACTGTTTGTAAAGCATTTGTTGACATCTGGAAGTACAATAAGTCAGTACATTTTACATTAAATTATGTCAAGCTGTGGAAACTCCCTTGAGGTGGTACTGTGATGCAGCTGACAAAAGTGAAACAAATTTTACTGCCAAAGGCAACATAGAAACATGTAAACCATTTCACCAATTGCAGATCATCTGTGGTATTATCTTAGGAAACACATCGCCCGTTGTCTTTTCCATCCCAATAACAAGTGAGTATTCCACCTCTTTTATTATTCACATTACAGCAGTAACAAAGATGCCTATGCAGAAATATGTGGGTGGCATAGGTTAATTCAATTTATGTTTAAATTTTAGAGTAAAATTACAATGTTCCATAAACTGAGGATTTCTGTTAACCTGGTTTGACCAATGAGCTATTAGTTACTGAAAATCATATAGAAACTGTTTAAAACGGTTTTAAAACCACTTTTTCTTTTCTGTTTCAAACAGATTTGATCTTTTGCAAAAATGGATGAAACTAACCCAGGTCCCAAAGTCCATACTTTTTTACCTTTTCACATGGTTCACCGAAATGAGAAAATTATCCTGAATAAACTACAAGGACTGGTCAGAAATATTAAATGGAGTCCCAGCGATGTCTCAGACTTGTTTGATGCTCTACTAAATCGATTTGAGTCATTTGCCAATGAAAGATCTGATCTTATTCCATGGATGGTTCAAATGTTGCACTGCATCGAAGTTAACTGCATTAGTTCCACTTGGAGATCTAAATCAGAAAACACACTTATCGAACTGGTCAGAGAAACTAGAATGAAAGATGAAAATCTCAAGAAACTTCTGGCAGATGACGCAGACAAGACATTGACACAGATTATTGGGGAAATTCGAAGTGAAAAGTTAAACCAAGTAAATGATGAGCTGTTAAAGGAGGTGAGAGACATCGTCTCCTCTGTTGATCAAGAGCTGACGTCGAAAGGTAATGGACAACAACTGAGTGGCTTGAAAAAAGATTTACTAAAACTCTGTCAAACAGCAGAAAAAACTCATTTCAGGCCACGACTGACACAGATGGTGAGCTGGTGTCTCATGGCTCTTTCCAACACAGGGCGGTTGATCCAGGTTGGTACTGGAGAAGGGAAGTCCTGCATTGTGGCAATGTTTGCTGCCTATAGAGCGATGAAAGGTGACAAAGTTGATATTATGTCAAGCTCATCGGTTTTAGCAGAGAGAGACATGGAAGACTGGGAGGAATTTTATGCTACTTTGAATATCAGTGTGGACTGCAACGTGAACAAACAAGACGAAGACCTAAAAAAGTGCTATAAGAGTCAAGTTGTTTATGGTACTGTGGAACAGTTTGCTGGAGACTGGCTTCGACAACACTTTCATAGGATGGATATATTCAGTCAGAGGACATTCCAGTGTGCAATTCTGGATGAAGTGGACTCGTTGATGTTAGACAAAGGTCATAATACTGTCTATTTAAGCAGTGACATGCCTGCTCTGCAGCATCTCAACCCTCTCTTGGCATTCATATGGGCCACTTCAAATCAGTACAACAAGATAGGTGCTAACAAATATGTTGGACAAAAATACCTCTTTCCTCAAGTTGTACTGAAACACATAAAAGAAAAGGGCATCGAAGAGTACGCAATACTTCAAATAGCTGAGGACACTGGTGTTTTGTCCAAAGGCTCAGTCCAGGAAATACAAAGAGACCCAAAACGTTTAATGGAGAAAACTGCAAGTGTTGCAACTGACAAGCTGGTTGACTTCTTAAGAACAATAGAGAAGAGATTCCCATCCTGCCAGTTTGCTTTATACACAAATAGAAATGGAGTTTTAGAAAAGCTGAACAGAAAGTCTCAAGAAGAATGTGAGCAAAAACCAGTGTCTCTTCTTTTGGACGGTGGTTTCTGTCAATACATGTATCATGATAAAGACAGTGTGTTGAGAGCTGCAAAAGAAGAAATTAAACATGCTTTGCATTTCACACCATGTGAACTGAAAAAGACTGGAGACTGCTGCTATGTCCCAGGCTTTCTCTATGATTTGGTCAAATCTAAACTACAAGTTTGGATTGAAAATGCATTTCTTGCCCAAAGTATGGAGGATGAACATGAGTATATCCAGGAGCAGCATAGAATAGTACCAGTGGACTACAGCTGCACTGGTGTTGTTGAAAACTTTATGGAATGGAGTGATGGTCTTCAGCAGTTTCTGGAAATGAAACATCAGTCAAAGATGAGTGATATGACAGCCATCACTAACTACATGTCAAACGTTGGCCTGCTTCAACTGTATAAAAGTCAGATCTATGGAATGTCAGGGACTCTTGGTCAACAACCAGAGATTGAGACTTTACAGAAGATATACACAAATATCCAAACCTGTCAGATACCATCATTCAAGCGCAGAAAACTCTTTGAGGTTGAAGGAGCGGTTGTGATCGATGAAATGACATGGATAAAGAATATTTGTGATGCTGTTGTTGAACAAATACAGGAGACATCTTACAGGGGTGCAAGAGCTGTGCTGATCATCTGTGAGACCATAAAGTTGGCAAAAGTTCTTCACCAAGCTCTTGAAATTAAGGTCCCTAACAAAACTCTTTACATTAACAACAACATGGACAACAGTGCAATCGTTACCAACAAACTGGGAGCAGGAGAGGTCATTATAGCCACAAACCTTGCTGGTCGTGGAACAGATCTTCAGGTTTCTGACTCAGTAAAAACAGCTGGTGGTTTGTTTGTTGTGCAAACTTTCCTTCCCAAGGACGCTCGTGTGGAGGCTCAGGCCTTTGGTCGTGCAGCGAGACAAGGATCTCCAGGATCTGCTCAACTCATTGTTTGTTCTCAACATCTGCGAGATGCAGAGCCACTCCAGTTGTTGGTTTTAACAAGGAAATTTTTATCTTTAATGGAAAATATGTTAGATGATTCATCATCCTTTCAAGATCTATTTGTAATGAAACTGAGGTTGTATCAGAAAAGTTTCACCAACAAACAACGTAAAGAGATTTCTTCTTTACTTTCACATATATTGACAGAGGAATCCACGTCAGATATAATGCTGGCTAAAAAGATCAGAGATGAATCAGAGGCTGGAAGACTGTCTAGATATGTGGATCACCACATCCCAAACATAAAAAAGAAGGAGGAGCTTTTCAATCAGTATCTGGAGATACTGAACCATCTGTACAAAAGCAATAGCAACAAGCCGGCAGCATCAGATGTGTCTGCACTCAATGAATTTTGGGGAATATGGCTGCTCACAAAGTTCAATGAAGAAGAGTCGATCACTACGTTGAAAAACAGTCTTAATGAAGACCTAAGCAAAGCCATTCAAAAGCTCAGGCTGAGAGAACCCCCCTTACCAAACTTGCACCATTACACTTTATTTGGCAATGAGCTACGAGAAAAAGGAATGCTTTCAGAAAGTATCAACATGTACACTAAAGCCATAGATGATGACCCATGTTGGGCAGCAATTGCATATTACAATCGTGCATTTGCAAATTTAACGCAGCTCAACAAACTTTTTGACCCTGAGTGCATTAATGAAATTCTTAAGGATTTGCAAAAATCACTCAAATCTGTGGAATTCTACTGTGACCAACTTGACATCACCTATAGATGCATCGCACAGCAAAACTCGGGCTCCAACAGAAACTCGACTACCAGATTTTATAAACACATCAAGGTCAGACGCATAGTTCAGGTGGCTTTCAAAGCCAATATATTTGAAGCAATACAGAAGGTAGACAGAGCAAAAGACTTAGGCTGTCCTGTTAGATTTCAAAAGAAACAAGTGTACTTTCTTTTTCCACCAGAACATTTTATGCCCTTGCCAGTCCTCTTCATGGAATTAGAGAGAGAGATTTATTCCAGAGGCCCTCAGATGATCCATAATCTTGTCAGCCACCCTTCCTTTGACACATTCATTGAACTCGTGCATCTTGAATCAATGGGCCTCATTCATATTTATGCCCAAGATACATTGATTTCTCTTGGCTTTTTCTCTAAAAGCTTACACAAAGCATTTCTTGGCTTTTTGAAACAGATCTACTGATCAAACAGAAAGCCTGCAATTCAAGCACAAAGGATGCAAATTGAAGAAACAGTATGGATTTAAATGATTCTACCTTTCTGTGGCTTTAAACGTACATATGCTATAGTAATGCAACCTCTAACTATTTTCTCTTTGAAGCCTTGTTTTTTTTTCCCCAAAATAGAACTATTTCTGGTTTGAGAAGTGAAAGTTAGGCCAGCACGGTGGCGCAACTGGTAGAGCAACTCTCAGCGAGCAGGTCTCCGGTTCAAATCCCGGTCCGGAGGCCGTTCTGGGTGGAGTTTACATGTTCTCTCTGTGCATGGGTGGCTTTTCCCTGGGTACTTGGTTTCCTCCCACAGACCAAAAACACGTAGGTGAGTGAGAGTGAATGGTTGTTTGTCTCATTTGTCTATGCGTCCCTGTGATGGACTTGCGACCTGTCCAGGGTGTACCCCGCCCCTCGCACAGTGATTGCTGGACATGGGCACCGGCGACCCCCCTGATTCAAAATGGAAGAAGCGGGTAAAAGATAATGGATGGATGGATGTTTACATAGTTTGTCATCATTCCATGGCAAAAGTATGTAGGTTTTTGGTGGTACAAAGTTTTGTCTTGGGCGGCACGGTAGTGCAGTTGTCAGAGCTGCCGCCTCTCAGTGAGAAGGTCACCCCAATTCAAATTCCAGCCGGGGGCCTTTCTGGATGGAGTTTGCATGTCCTCTCTGTGCATGTATGGGTTTTTCCTGGTACTCCAGTTTCCTCCCACAGACCAAAAACATGCATGTTAGTCTGATTGGTAATTCTAAATTGGCTTTAGGTGTGAGTGAGAGAGTGAATGGTTGTTTGTCTCGTTTGTCTCTATGTATCCCTGTGATGGACTGGAGACCTGTCCTGTCCCCCCGCCTCTCACACAGTGATAGCTGGATAAGAGCACCAGTGACCCCCATGACCCGAAAGGTAGAAGCAAGTAAAGATAATGGATGGATGGATGGATGGATGGATGGATGGATGGATGGAAGTTTTGTCTGAAGTATTCTTCTAATTGTGTTTGACCCCTGAAAAACCATTTCAAAATATTTATGCCTCATCCTGTACTAAATATCACTTTTTAGCTTTGCATTAAGGACACTTGAATAAAAATGTATCTATCAATGTAACATACATAAACTCAGAAAAAAATTGCAATAATTTGCAAACTAACTACATGCCATTAATTTGTCAGTCAGATGGACCCCATTATCTTAAATACTTGCAGCTGACTTACATAATAGAGACTGAAAAACTAAACCAACATGGAGATTTATGCAAATATCAAGAAATAAAATGTGAGAGATGAAAATGCAGATTTAACACAACTAATATTGTTATTGCAGTATAGTAGTCCCTAGCTACTTTGCGGTTTGTTTATCGTGGACTCGCTCTATCGTGGTTTTTCAAAGTAAGAGTGGACATGACACATGGATGAGCCGCACGATCAGCATGGAATTTTTATTTAAAATAAATTATTTTAAATGATTTAGCACCTGCTGCTCCTTTGTGCAGCCCACACTGCAGGATAAACTTCCTGCTGCAGCTGATCAGCTGATCAGCGTGCAGAGCAGAGAAGTGGGTGTGGCCAGGAGCACTTGCAGGTGGCAAAGAGCAGAGGAGGCAGGGAGAGGGAAATCATGACATACAGTGCTCCTTTAGAGCGTTTAGAGTTTAGAAACATTGTTTTGAATATTGCAAGTGTGGGAAGGGTTTAAAACGCTTTATATATACTATATATATACTATATTATATGTATATATATATGACTATATTATATGTATATATATATATATATATATGTATATATATATATAGATATATATACATACATATATATATATATATATACATATATATACACATATATATATATATATATATACATATATATACAC